CTGGTTCGCAAGCTAGCCGCGGACAACACCTACGAAGACTTGTGTAAAGCAGAACAGTGTTGCATTCTCGCGTTTCAGGCATCGGGAATTGGATAGGACCAGCCGTCATGCACGAGTTGGCTCTCCTTGCAAGCTATGCCAGCTTTCGGTTTGCCCAATTCACGAGTTTCGAGAGCAACGCGGCAATGAACTTCAAAGGGGGACCGCATCAACCACTTTTCAGGGGTTTCCTATTGAAACTCATAGTCATGTGGGAGAAAGCACTCGAACCAATCATCAGAACGGTTTTTCATTTTGCGGGAAATTTCGACCATGAGGGCGCGGGCATATCCCCGTTCGCTTGCTTGCATCGTATCAGGAGGGATCCAACATGGCGCCAGCGTTGTGCCTGGGCTGCACCTTTTCTTCTCGTTTTGTTTTAACCGGGTGTGAACTCTAATAAGGGGCATTTGATGAACATGGTAGGGTCCATGTCCGACCTCCACTTTGGAGGTTCCAGCTCTTGAAATTCATCGCCAGGTCACTCACCGATGGCTTGGCCTGGTACACACTCTGATTCACAACGCGCCAACACGGTGAATTGGCAAACTTAATAATTTATGTTTGCAGGTGTCTTTCGCATTTTAGTCAAGAGCCAAACGCATCGAGGCTTTTCTTCCAAGTCAACGCAGCGGGGCAGATTGTTGCAACACCCCCCGAATCAATTCAGCAGGTCTTTCGATCCAGTTAGACATCAACCTTGCCACTCAAAAGAAACATCATCTTAAGCTTATTTTCCTCGGTAGGCCTCAAGGCATTTTTTTTTGGCCAGTTTTGAACTTGCTGGCCACGAATGAATGCATACTTTGGTGGCGGGATAGGCCATGAAGGGTTACCACAAGGAGGCCTCCAGGTGCTCATGAAAGGGTCCGTGCATGCAGCCCTTTGAGTCACTACAGCTCCCGTTGCAGGCCCCTGGAGTCAGAACGGCCTCTCATGATTCCAACAAACGCACTCTGGGCACTCTTGAAAGCGAAAGTCGGCTTGAGGATGTTTTTGTGGCAGAGATTCCATTCTCTACTCCAAGCACAAGTGTTGACTCCACCGGCCGGCGTCGAAGGTGGGCGCTGCGTATGGTGGATGACTCCTTCCGGGATCAAATTGACCTGCTCCGCCAGGCTGCTTGGCAAAAGCCAAAAGCACTAAACATTGGTCACGTGTGGATTTTTAAGAGAGTTCAGACTCCGCAGTGCAAAAGCTTTGGGCTTTTGTCGTTTTATTGTCTCTGGGTGTCGGTTGCCCGGACCCGCATCTTCGCCTCCCCCCCACCTCAACCCCAGACCGCGAGGTGTGGGTACTTTCTGCAACATGTGACAACGCGAGCAAGGCACCTCCTCCCAGAATGGCCAAAATTCCCAAGGTGCAATGTCAGCACGTCTCCTCCTAGGGTAGAGTTAGGATGCAAGATTACCTCAAATCTTTCCCGCAATTTTGTCCAAGTGCTCCCCAAATACCCTCCGAGGGCTCCAAACCAATTGCTCCCAGCCTGAAGCTGTCGTGTTTCAAATGTTCACACAATTCCCTCAGAGGCAGCCATGTATACAAAACGACCCACCCACATCAGATGACAAGAGCTATGAAGGTTGTTTGAACGTGCCGAACTACAAGAATTAGGTTGAGCCCTCCGAACTGCAATTTTGCCAAAGCGTCAACATCAAACCGAGGAAGACCGAATCCAAGGCCCTGGTGCGGACCTTGTGGAAACACACAGGTTTTCCATAAATCCTGAGAAATGCGATGGTTTCCATTGGCTCTGCTTGGAGCCACCCAGTTTCTAACTTCCTTGTTTTGGGCCCAAAAGGGCCGCTGAAACGCCCAACAACCTTGCGAGAGTGAGGGATCCGATGTGTTGCTGAGGCTGCGGCGCGTCACCGGAACTTGCTGGAGAAGAGCCGCGGCAGCTGAGCGGGCGGGCACTCGCGCGAGAAAAGCCCGTGTTCCTGATTTGTTTCTCTGCAGTTCTAAGCCGGTTTTGAGAGGATGCTGGTGGTTGAGCTGAGCGCATTGAGAAGAGGAGGTGCCAAACCCCCCCAAGACTGGCCCGAACTGCAAACTACTCCAAGCCACTCCAAGCCACAAGCAACTGGCTTTTGAACTAACCTCTCTGAAATGCTGCAAACGTGCATGCCGGTGCAGCAGCTTCTAGTGAACGGCGCGGCAACTGAGCTGTGTTTAGCCCTGGTTTCGTGAACATGTACTCCTTGCGGGAAAGCTGGTAAACCAGGGTGCGAGATGCGTGCCCTTTTCAGATTGGAAAAGGTGCCGGGCCAATCAGAAGCGAATTTCTATTTTGACTGCGGTTTCGCGCTGCCCCTCGCCGCCCTGTGGCCCGCAGCTGGCGGCGGGCACCGCCGCGTTGGCACCGGGCACCGCCTAAAGGCGGCGCCCGGCCCGGCCCGTCCACGGCGCCGGGCGCATGGAGGCATCCGACCCAGGGGGGGGGGGGGGGCTATGGTCCTGGCAAGGGCCCAGCCCGAAAAAGAACTCATCGATTTCAAGCAGCCAGGTGCATTCAGCTAAAGTGCGAGAACTCCCGTTCCTTTCCTTCTCGGCCTTGGCAGGCGGTGACGGAAAATCCGTCCGAAACTTTGCCTTCGGAGCTTGATCCTGATCCTGTGATCCCTTCTTTGTTTGGCACGCAAAGCCAGCGCCTGGCAGGAAACCTTCGGGTGATGCGCCCCACGGCGGAAGTCGGAAGTCGATGTGCCGCGAAAAGGCCTTTGAGTTTCGCATGGGCCGACATGGGTTGACCCGTTGAAGGCACAAGGAAGTTGATTACATTTTTTTCAGTGTCTGGTTGAACAAGGGGGTTCCTCCCCCCAAACCTGTTCCACACTCGAAAAGAAACGCAAAAACAGGAAGCCCAGTGAAAGGCGTTGCCTTCCCGGCAGCTTACGGGGATTCTGCTCAATGAACCTATGCTCTGTGGGCAGCAAGGCGTGTTTCAGGCCAAAACAGCAATCATTGAGCTGATGCAAATGTCCTCGGTTGATCACATTCTCCAGTTTTGGTGGCTTTGAACGGGCGAAATCAAGAGGGAGTTTCTTCTTTCAGGCGGGCTGAATGGGGAAGTGTAGAGAACATGGGGCTAGCAGGTTAGTTTGAGAGCGGAATCTCTCGAATGTCCAAGCAGAAGGAGAAGGGAAAAGCCCTCCGAGCCTCGGGTCCTTTCCCGCAGAACATGAACCGTCTTTGGCAATCGGGGTTTGCCGGGTCCCAGACAGGCTAACTCGGAACCAGCGGTCCCAAAAGGAGGAAGAACCAGCTGATTTTGGCTCCAGATGCCTCACTCGTTGGAGGTTTGAAGGCGGCCGATGCCTAGCCTCACGCCACCTTCTTTTGGCGAGCAGTGCGCATTGGGCTCCCTTTGTAAACAGCGACTTTTCAGATGTCAGCCCAGGAATAGCGTCGTCTTCCTGCGGCTAGCGCTCACAGGGAATTGCCAGGCCGGTGGGCTGGCAAGAGATTCTCGGGGTGGTGCAGCAACAGGCACCCAGACATCTAGGGAATTTTTAGGGATTTGATTTTATGGAGGTTAAGTGTTCTAATGTTTTTTTTGTTTTTTTTTTTTACGTATACATACATGTTATGTATATATATACATATATACACACCAGCAAAGGGGCTTCGCTTTTGTGGTAGTCTAACCCCTGTGTCTAGGATGGTCTAGGTCTCTTGTCAAACAAATCAACCAACCAAGTAGAAGGCTTGCATTGGCCGGCCAGGATGTCTGAAGAGGGGTCTGCAGCCCAGAGCGGGGCACCTTGGGTCGCAGAAATTGGGCGGGGGGGGGGTCGCTCTTGGAGGACAGAGGGTGGCTGCCAGTTGCATTGCTTTCTGATGGCTTTTGCACCTGGACAATGGATGTGGATTTGTCTCAAATAGGGCAACCCCCCCCCAAAATAGTTGCTTTCCTTTTGGGTGTCGTTGTCTGCTGGGCACGGGGGCGCCACTTCTGAGAAGACTTTTGCAGGACTGCTACCGGGCCGTCATGATGACTACTTGTTTTCTTGGCTAGCGAGTCTTGGCGATGAGTGCGGTTGACAGACGCCGTCCAGTATTCCCTGGTGGGAAGAGGAACTTTTAATTTAGGGCTTTTGCTGGAGTTGGAACTGTTCTTGGGGCTTCATGCTTTTAGGCAGGTGTGCCCGCAAGGGTTTCCAGATGACAACACCCTTTTGCTTTTGGGTGGGCTGGGAAGACCAGCTTCTGGCGGCAAGCAGAGCAGCTACCCGCCTGGCATGTGTTGACCACGGGAGCTGTTCCTTGCCCCTTCTCCAGGCAGCTTCCACCGCCACCCCGGAGCCGAGCCGATTTCGGGGGCGGGGGGGTTGGAAAGATTGTGTGCGATATAGCGAAGTGCATTGCGCCAAGATTTTGGTATGCCAGCGTGCAAAGGCCCCGGTCCGTTCTTTTTTAATGGTGGGGGGGGGATCTTAAGGGAATCGACAGGGGAACTCACCCATACTCCAAAATAGAGGAGCCAATGCCAGGGAGTGTCCAGGGAGCCATGGGCAGGAAGGGCGGTTCTGAGATGGGTCAAAGTGCATGCATTGGGAACAGGCATCCTCTGGACCATCTTGGGATGTGGTCCTTGGACAGATCTCGTCCGTTGGACAACCTGAAGGACGCCCCCCGGGTTTTTGTTGTAGGCGTCCTGCGTGGCCTTTGATGAACCATCCAAAGGAATTGTGCAATTGGTCCGTTGCCAGTGCTGTCAGCTGGCTTTGGGCGGACTGAGCAAGCTTTGTCGGTTGCGACATCTAGCATCTGAAAAGAGGGTGAACATGCCAGCAAAAGGGAAAGGGGGCTGCGTACCGGTTGCCAGGAGCGATCTCCGTTATTCCAGAACTTCCCTATTGAGCAAGTTTTTGAAGTGGGGTGCCCACTTCGGTCACATTGAAAGAACCGATGCTCCTCGCCGCGTGCGGGGCGGGGGACATGTTTTCCCAGGACCTGGGCGGCAGCGAGTGGAAGAAGACAATGAGCAGACTTCAAGGCGAGGCTGTCTGACGTTGGAGGGCAATTGTTGAGCCATAGGAATGAAAGAAGCCAAAAGAACATCACCGTTTTTGGGGTCCGCCAATTTTCCAATTTTTGCTGGCCGCAGGCCGACGCTGGCTGGAACATGGTTGCCTTGTTTTCCTGTTGCAAAGTGTAAACAGGGGGGGGGCAGGGAGTTCTCAATTATCAATTAGACTAACACGGGCAAGTTGGCGCACGGGCTTGCCTGGGTTTCCAATTCGGCTGTTCGTGCTTGCTGGAAGCACCTCTTCTGGGGGGAACTTCAGACAGGTCACGTAGGGCTCATGAGGGCTGCGTAGCGAGAGGGGCAGCAACATCTCAAAGGTGCAATGCCGAGATCCGAACACCTTCCATCGCTTGTTCAATGCACCGGTCGGGGTGGTTCCTCGTGGCTGTAAATCCGGGCCTGCGGCTCGGCTTCCGCTCCCTGTACTTTTTCTTCCCTTGCAAGCTGCGTCGAGAAGTCATGGGGATAGCCCCGGCCCACGGGGCGGACACCTCCCCCATGTCCCGAGCTGAAGCTCCAGCTGGGCATGTCAGCCAAGAACCCCTCGGAAGCTCCCGGCCCGTGAGGCAACGCGCGGGGCGTGATCTTTGCCGGGCGCCTGAACAAGGCGCCGGGCATGGGGCGGCATGGATTTGACGTTCCCATGCCCGAAAATGGGGAATTGAGGGTCGCTTTTTCAGCCTTGGGCCAATGGCTTCTAGTCTTGTTTGTGGTCTTGAGGCTGACGCAGTTGGACCCGCTTGGTGCCTGGAAGTTCCGAACATGGAACAGGGATGAGACAATTTGCCCAGGTTCTTCTGTATTTCCGGGTGCCCACGGTCGGGCACCCGGGCTTTGTGTTTGGCGTCCCTTAGCTAGTAGAGTTCCTTAGTGCCCCGTTTGAGTATTCCTGGACGTCCCATCCGTCCAAGAACCAAACAGCCTCCCGTTGTGCATCCGATCGGATCATTGCTCAGTGTTTTGGGCACCTGGGACTTGAACTGGGCTTGTGTGAGCAACGGGCCAGATAACCCCACATGACTTAGCCTTTAAGTGAGTGTAAGTTGAGTGAGTAAGGGTAAGTATGTGTAACTTACTGAGTGTAAATTGAGTGAACGAGCGTATTTGTAAGTGGAGTGAGCGAGAGTGCGGGTGGTTGAAAGATGTTGAAAGTCAGTGATAGTTGAGTGCGTGAAAGCAACTATTTGTCAGTCAGCAAGCCTTCGGTTTCCAACTCTTACCCCCCTCCCCCCCCACTCCATCCGATTCCATAGGCTCCTGTTGGGTGGGCCCCGCGCATTAAAAAATCCCGGCCGAAGCCGAAGCAGATGTTTACATGGGTGGCTCCTCTTTTCTTGGTTTTCCCTTGGGAAGCCAAGGGAAGACCTTTTGCTAAGGGGTGCACATTTCGAAGCCAGCCACAACTTGTGACCGGCCTAATCGCTTCTTTTGGGCCTGAGAAAGCACACAGGCAGGTCACCGCTGGCCCCCCCATATTTTGTGCTGGTTGACTAAAGTGAGCACTTTAAGATTGTTGAGTCGTTGAGGGGTTTGCAAAAATCCATCGGGTCGTGGGGAAAACTATTAGCTCGGGCCAGTTGTTGAGGGACATGTCCAGGGAGACGCACATTTGCGGGCCCCCAATCTTTGGACACTTTTTCACAACAACAATCCCTCCAACAAGAAGCAGGAGCAACCACACCCTTGTAGCCTACGCAGAAACGAGGGATCAGCACATCCTCCACGTATCCCCATTCGGGACCTGTAGTTGGCGAGGCAGACAGCAAGACGGAGAAGCCCGTCGACCGGCTCGTGGGCTCTCTGAAGAGCTTCGCGTTCGCCTCAGTCTGGCGGGGTGGGGGGTGGGGTGGGGGGTGGGGTCGGGGCTGGGGTTGGGGGTGGGGTCGGGGGGGGGTGGGGTGGAGGCTCCTTGTGCAGAATTATGAAGGTCTGCCGCCCTTTTGCCTTGGTATCTGTGGCTCAGGTGCCGGAGGATATCCTGGGCAACTTTCAGGATTGGCGCCTCGGCCGCAGAACTTTAGACCATGCGATCGAATGCCCGACGGCCAAGTGGGGCCAAGGTGTTTCTTGGAACCTGCCAAGAGGGTGCACCAATTGGATGAACCCCTCACGCCTGACTCAGTTTAGCGCCATCTCCGGGTGCTTGAGCTCGCTGAGAGCGTTCGATCAGTCTTAGGTCGATGTCCTTTTAGCCAAGGGCGACGTGAGCCAAGGCATGTTTTCCCGCCTTACCAGTGGAAAGACGCAAAAACAGCAACCTCGGTATTCAAGATGTTGCCTGTCTCGACTTGGTTCCGGGATCTCCCAGTATATGACTGATGGCTCTCGTGTTCCAAGCTGCCTGCTGAAACCATATGGCAAATGGGCGCGCGCAAAACTAGGGACACTCACGGAATCTCACGGATGATTCACGCGTTAAACACCGGGCAGTGCCGGGCAGCACAGGTCCCGTGTTTTGGCAAATCAATTGAAAGAAGCGGAAGGCAGATGCTGGTTTGTCTGTTTGAGTAAAGGCCCTTCCCAGAGTATTTCTTCGATTGTCAGGGCATCGCTTGATTTCCTGCAAAAAGAGGCCAACACGCATTCTCAAGAACCTAGCTTTCCAACCTTAACCTGTTGTTTTTTGTGTGAGAGCTCCATTTCACTTGGCTCATGCGCCTAAAAGCAACACGCTGGGGGTTGCCTGGAGCCGATGGGCGAGCTGAGGATCGAGTTTCCGGAGGGCTATGAGGAGGACGGCGTGTCCACCAAGTGGCCAGAGCCGGAGCCTCTTTGCCCGCTTTCTGAGCCTTCTTTGGCTCCAGCTTTGAGGTTTGGTTGCTATGCGTGCTGGATCTTTACCGTCTTGTTGCGATTCGGAACTGGGAACGCACAAATTCCAAGAGGAAGTTGCTGCTTGATTGTAGCCTTAACCTTTTGCAGATTGACGCGGAGCTAGACCATCACCTATTCCCAGTAGAGCCAGTGGAGCCGGTTGGCGGATATGAACTGTAGTTGTCTTGCTCTTTCTCTTCTATCCTCTCCCTTGCTTTTGCCCTCCGTCTTCTTTTGTTTCTTTTTCTTTCACTTCCTCTGGTTTCTTTTCACTGTCTCTGTCCATGTTATTTCTCCTCCTCTCTCTCTCTCTCTCCTTCTCGTTTCTATTTCATTTTGCTCTCTTTTTCCTGCCTTCCCTTTTCTTGCGCAAGACATGCTGTCTTTTTGCCTGCAAGCCTGTGTCCAACCGACCCTCCCCGTTGATTGGATGATAATCCTTTCCGTTGACTTTTTGTAAGCATTTGTCCATCCATCATTGGGCGGGCAATGGCGCAGACAGCAGATGTTCATTATGCCAATTTCAAGTAAGGTTTATCGTATTATTTGTCCAAGTTTAGATGTGTTGTGCTGATTTCTCTTTGGCATCTTGCCATTGTGGTCTGACTCAAAATTGGGTTGTTGATTTGCTTTTGGTTTCCCCGCGAATGGTCTAATAAAGAAGCATCCACAAAGTGGTTCCTATTCCTTATCAACATGAAGCGACCAACTTGAAGGGGCCGCTTACATTCGCCCCTTTGGTGGATATCTCAACCAACGCGCCCCAAGAAACATGCCCTACTCGAGATCCTGCTGGTTCCTGTGCACTTCTTGGGCTAAACCCAGGCACAAGTGGATCTAGATGGGAGGTTTCCGCGAAATGCGCAGATGAAACCACTCGCAAGCCTTTTTGCAGGGCCTGCCGGGCAAATTCAAAGACTCTTTGGGACGCGAGGGCTAAGGTGGTGTTCGTTTGGCCTCAACAGGAGTTCCAAACTACGGAAGTCGAACACAAAAAGGACAAGTTCAACACAAATGCCAATTGAATTTAGAAAAGACATCAACCCGAAGAAGGATATGCTCAAAGCCGAAGTGTTGACCTGTTGATCTGTAATTTCCCTTGGGGCTTTCCAGCTTGCCTGAGGGACTCGCCGCCGGCCTCGCCCTCACAGGCGGGGTGGGGCAGTTCTCAAGCCGAGGTGGATGGTGGCAAGCAGTCGCTCCCAAAGCGCGTTTCTGGGGCTTGGTTTGACCTTCAACTTGAACACCACTTGGAATGTGGCTTGTTTCAAGCAGCCCTGCTTGCCGTTTAATCTGTAAGTACAAGTGCGTCATGCCCAGATTCCCTTATCAATGCGCCGTCGGAAACCATCTGCTTTTTCTCGACTCGACTCGGACCCTCACTAGTCAAAGGCCAGTTCAGACCGGGACCCGAAACACGTGCCATTTCGTGCCGCCTTCCCAGCACTTCCTTCCCCACAAAAGGGCCGTTTGTCATGCAGACTTGGCCAGGCGAGCCAGAGGCACGGCCTGATCGCTTGCGGTTTTGGTTTGGCCGACGTGGCAAAAAGAAAAGGCAGCTCAACAGGCAGCCGCTTGCCTGTTCAGCTGAATGAGTGTGGTTCATTTCGAAATTGTCCAGAAAGAAATCCATACTGTTGTCAAATAGCCCTTGACTGGGTGCCCAATGTAGCCAAATATTCCGGTGCTCGCTGGGGCTCCCAAAAACATTCGCATGCCCTCAACGATGAGGGCTTGGATTTGTGATTGGGCTGCTTGAGAAAGAATCACAAAAGCAGAGGCTCGTTGGCAGCCCCGAAGCTCGAAACCAAGCCAAGCAAGATCAAGCAAGGGAAGGAGAGGGTGGGTTCTTTTGGGACTCCCACAAGTGTAGTTTAGTCCAAAGAACATCATTTTCAAAACTACAGCGAATTTTGAGGAATCTTAAAAAAACACCTCATGTGCCTGTGATTATCCTGTAAGGTCTCCGCAAAGCCAAGAAAATCATGCCTGAAAGGCATCCCAATTTCAAAGCCAAACAAGCATGCCGGAAAGGCCGCCCATCTTTAAACCAAAAACCTCGAAGCAAACCAAACAAGCCAAAAGAACGAATCAACGATGAAACAAAGAAGCAAGGCCCTGAGGAACATGATTTGCTCATGCCCAATACCTTTTGTGAGGGAGATTGTCGTTTGTTTTCCTCGAGGTCTTCTTGTATTTTTCAGATGGGGCCATTTTCCCGGCAGATCTCGCGCGCGCAAGAGCCTTCTCCGAGCGTCGGATGCCACTGCGGTGTAATGCATTTACGGAGACCAGGTGCAGTATTTTACGTCACACCATTCTTCTCTTTATCTTGGTAGCTATGAATGATCAATCTGCGTTATGGACGGACTAGGGATGGCATCGGAAGGAAGAGAGATGCCACGAAGAGGGGCAAAAGAGTTGCAAAACCGTTGTTCAATGATGCTGGACCTTGTTTTTGGCATTCCCTTAGTTACGGCTCTATGCTTCCCATACACCAAAGGCAGGCCCGCGTGCCCTACATCACATCAAGACTCCAGTTTCGGTATTGGGCCCAGGTTTGTTGACCTCTCAACCGCATGGGATCCCATGGAACCCCTCGCTAGGCTCTCCACGCCGGGGACCAAGCTGCCGCCCCTGAGCCCGACCAGCCCAGGCCTGAAATCTCCCTGTCCGCTGGTTGGGGCGCAAGGGGCAAAACAAGCCAAACGGTGGGAGTGACACGTGGAACAGCGGGCCCTGTCGGGTGTTTTCAATCACGTGGCAAGTTTTTGGGTTTTGGTCGGAGGTCACATGAGTGGGACCCCCTCCCCCCTTTCGAGGGGAGGCCGAACAGAAGCCACCGATGTGGAAGGTTCCTCTTGGAGACACATGTTTGGGTAATGTGCCCCTACGCTCCCGTGGGAAGCCAACCGAGCGCCCGGGAGGGTTGGGATTCAAACAGTTCACGGGGCGCTCGGCGCTCGGATGGCCAGGCGTGCAGACGGCGCGGCGCCGAAAAGCAGAGCGCCCCGGCGATCGGCTCACGCTGGCCCGCGCCGCCTGTGCCCGGCATGCGGCTTCGCTGAAGCGGAGGGTGGAGGGTGGGTCTCTCCCCCGTTTTTTGTTTTTTTGTTTGTTTGTTTGTTTTGTTTTTCCTTCAATGACCGTTTGGTTTGGAACTTTTTGGAAGGGACAACAACTGTTTTGGTTTGTGTTCAATGGGGAAAGACCAACAGGGGTAGCAGGGAATCACACAGTTTTCCGGGCCGCGGACTTACGACGCATGACGAGCGTCGTTCCTGTGCAAACCTTCGGCCACCAGAGTCTCAGAGATGCTTGCTTCCGGGCGCTCATGGAAACCCTCTGTAGCTGGAGGGCTGCTTGAACAAAATGGCCATAGATCGCTTTAGCCGCGTCTTCGCGAGGCGATTATGTTGCGTCTTCGCAACCGGCGTCAAATCGTCTTACACCGAGGCGCCGCAAACTATGTTTTCCAGTCACATGGGAGGATGGTTCTGATCAGCCCATCTGCGGTGCTTTGACATGCTGGCAAGTAAAGGAACAAGTGTGTGAGTGGCAGCTTTGCATGAGAGAGCATTGTAAGGGGTGAGGCAACCACGTTCAAAACCAATTTTCTGGCAAGACTTGCCAGCCTGCAATATCCTTTGCCCTTTCCCACATTGGTGATTGGTTCGCCCGGGCGCCTTCCAGCGCCCAAGCCACGACTCTCACCGATCCTTTCAGTCTCAAAGCCAGTGGGTAGAGTTTCCTCGATTCCATGGCTGCGGGCACGGCCACGAAGCTCAGCGACGGCCCAACACTTCGGCCGCGGGAGCCGTGTCCGGAGCCTGCGTCTGTCCCCCTCTCCCGGCTGGCGCTGCGCCGCTTGCACGACACCGGGACGTGTCGGCCTGCCTGTACTTCACCCGCATGAAGGACATGGGGGGAAGCAGCTGGGGAATTGGCCACGTGGTTGCCTCGGGATGCAGTTTGAAGGGATTCTCAGTCAGGTGCAAGCGAAACTTCTTTTTGGTTCCCCTCTTTCCTTGCAGGGCTTTTTCTAGCTAGCTGGGTTGGGGGCCTAACCCCGGTTTGTTGGTTGGTTGGTTGGTTGGTTGGGCTGGGGGCTAGTTGGAAGTAAGTCAGTTGGCTGGTTGCTGGGTTGATTGCGTTTGGTTAGTTGGTTGGGTTGGTTGGATACTGTAGGTCTGGCTTAAGGCTTAAGCCTAGGTCCAAGTGAGGCCGGTGTTGCTGGGGATGGGGCCAACCACTCCCCCCCACATGGCCAATTCCCCTCCCAGAGGGATCCAAGCCGGGGATGTTGCCAGCCATGGAGGAAACCAGACCTCAGCCCAGCTGTTTAGCCTATAGCTGCACACTGGAACCCATGTGTAATGTGCAGAACCGATGTGAGCAACAATCCCGGGACTAGCTAAAGAACGAATCAACATCTTTCGTTACTTTCGTTTCACTAGCCTCTGAGTGAGGCTGGGTTGGAGGTCCTCTTCAAAAGCTGTGATTCCTGGCTTGCACCTGCCTCTCGACAGGTACAAAGCGCGCAGCAAGTAAGTCACCGCCAACATCGCTTGTGCCACTACAACCAAAGCCGGGGGCTGAAGTGCCAGAGCAGTGC